TGTCGCAACGAATGACATGAAACTGTGAACAGTGACCGAAAAATGTGGAGGCTGTTGACTCGGTCAGCAGATCCCTGTTAAAGGAAAGACCACAGAAAAAAAGAACATGACACTTTTCTGCCGCAGAAATCTAATTCTCTGACGTAACCGCCAGATTATTTGAATCTGCAGAGTACCAGTCAATATGCACAATAACCTTGAAACAAGAGTACAGTGGCGTACTTACGTTTTTCATGTTCTAATTAGGGGTAATATTCAGAGTTCTTCACATATTTTGTTCATAGAAAACTACAATACTCCAATAGATGACTAAACCTAAACCCACAATTTTGGTTCTGTTAACATTGTGAAATGCATGCAATTTAGAACACCATAATAGTGTATTACTACTCATTACCCTCAGGTAAGATGAAATATCTTTCTATTACCATTCAGCAAAATAAACATGCCAATAATTTAAACTTGACGCTGTTTGCCTTCGTCCTCATCTTGGCCCTGCCCTGAAATTAATTGCAATCACACCGTTATCATTCACTATATTTCCGCAACATCTATATAAATTCGCATATTTTCTATGAATGTACACACAGTGTATTTCTTTCCAGGGGTCCACGCTGAGATTTATATTTACAAGAAGACTGATCATCGTCGTCGCATGCAAATTCACTGTTGCACGCTCCACTAAATATAACGATAATTATCTATCTTAATTCGAAAGATCTTTGGAACCTTAAAAACACGAGCTATTAGGGATCGTTATCTGAAACAATCTAGTTTCATTGTTAATGCGAAAAAAATGATCACTGACTGCAACAAGTCAATATGATTATGGTTTAGTAGTAAAAAAATGGGTAGGTAGCTTAAATTGCTAGTCAGAGAATCACTGCTCTGCAAAGAAAAACAGGGTACGCAACAGCAGCTTCAGTTCATTTCAACTCTTTGAGTAATGAGATCTAGGTAACTGCCTCTTGTTACTCTTGAAATTTGAGTTGCTAGTTCGGCTCGTAACAGTTCAATTCACTATTTGCCTTGAGATGGGTCAATCTTATTTGGCCAAAACATCAATAGCGAAAAAATAAAGACCTAAACATCGGTCTTATATACGTGCCTATAACCAGCGACTCATTCTCATACATCCTATGCATTTACGTAACAGTGCATAAAATAGGAAAAACCGCTAACATCTAAATACAGGCTTTAGAAATTCGGTTATAAATCAATGAAAACAACTGAAGTTAAAATCTTCCCTTAAGTGACAACGTTTCAATCAGGACTGTTTGTCTTGAGGAGGGCCAAAGTTGTTCAACCCAAAACATCGATAGTAATATAAAGATTTTAACACTGATGGGTCTGTTGTGCCTTCAGTCATCGAATCCATACGACTTGTACAGAAGAACAAGAAACAGAATCGAAATGAGTTTTCGAAATCATATCGCCACTTACTTCGGGTTCTCCGCCCCAGACACCCCGCGTTTCAACCTTTCGGCAATAAGCGTCAAACCCGGATTCGCTAATGACGTCATCTTCGTTGGGAGAATCGATAATGAACGGCATGAACTTCGCTTTGTTTCGCTTGAATATAGAAGCAGCTGTATGCCTGAGTTCAGTGCCATGGACCTGAAACAACGAAACGACATTACTCCAACGACAATGCGCAACACTTGTAAAATCAGACCAGCTAAAAACAGAAAACCAGATCAGCGAGAAATAGCAAGGCCGTAGAAGGACGGTCACTAATCGCAGACATTGCATTTGTTTGCCACGTAAGACACTTCCTCTATTTCAACTGAAACGAATGACCATAGACGAAAACAGCAATCCAGATTTTCATAAACCAACATTACTAATAACCTTTGCCCTTAAAGGGCTTCCAGTCGGTTTCCACGTCAACTGGCATCACTGGAATTCGCTCAAACCGTCATGCGATGTTGTTTCCAGGTTTAGTCCTCGTATCCGCAACAGATGTTCCCCGTTTGATTCTCCAGTTGTTTGTGTCGTTCTTTACAGCGGAGGGCACCAACAACGTGATGATCAGCTGACAGCTCTGCGCTTCTCTTAATGGGAACACCCATTACAGAGCGTCGTAAGTCAAAAGATACGATTATCAATCCGATCATCGACTTCTGTACACAAGCGTCCATGTACCAGGTACACCGATGCACGCTACGATGTTCAAGGAAAGTGTTCATAATGGACAGTCAGTTGTTTAAAACAGCAGCAACTTCATGCCATTACTGTTAAGATCGTTCTTTCCAATCACGCATTTTCCACCTGTCAGTGGCTACTGCGACATACGCATTAAAATTGCCCATTAGAATGAGGGACTCGTAACTGGCACTTCATACAGAGCATACTCCACTTCTTTAAGGAATTGCTCATATTTCCCCTCTAAATTAGGCGCATAGGCCTGTAAGCTAACAACTGCAGCTTCAATCGGCGGATTGCCACTCTTCCGCTGACAGGCTTGCATTCGATGATTCTATCAGTCAGGTTGAACCGTTCCAGAAATCCAACACTGGCATGAGCGCGATTCGTAGAGTCGACATCTGAATATAATAGCTTTCACCCGCAGAGGCTGAGAATTCCAGTCTTTGAGTTTAATTGACGATGGTTCAGCTATGTCGAATTGGTACTGTGTGCCTTTATCAACTAGTTCCTGCTATATCTCTGAGTAAGGATATCTTCAAATTGCTGACTGTAAGCTTCCACTGTCGGAATCGTTTTCGTGGAGTCGTATCAGTTGGTGACTGGTACTGGCGTATTTTTTGTCAATCTATGGCAGTGCCGTCGTGCTGCTATGCTTCCGGCTGCAAGTAGTTCAGCAGATTCTGACTGCCAACTTTCCGTAATCTGTCTCAGTTCCTGAACAGCCTATGCGGTTCTTGGTCATATAACGGTATAACGCTCGAGACTGGCAATATCACGAAGGGCAGATGACTAAATTTTACGAGACCTCGCCAGAGACCCCAACCTTCTTGATTTCTCTTCAGGTCTTGGGACCGGCAAGGGCAGAATTTAGCAAAGTATATGACTACCCATTATTAAATGAACATGCAGTATGTATAGCACATATACAATAAGACTTGGTTAACTCGAGATCATTTAATTCGAAATTTCAGTACAATTGGAATGTTCTTTTAAACATATCACTGAAGAAACAAAATTCATACAAAAATACACTGATAATTAGCATTTCGAAGAAATATTTAGGCCTGCGGTCATAATATTAACATATTTGGTTTTGAATAATTGGAAATAAATTCTATGAAAAATAATGTTCACAAAATCAAGCGCGCCAGTTGTGCGCCTATTTATTATTTCCGGCATTCGCTGTTCAGTAGATAAAATATGACTTATTCATACAGTTATACTTAGTGGCGATGGATGTTTGTAGCATGTGCAGGCAAAGCTAGTTTCTATTAGAAAGCTTATGCTGACGTGAGCTTGGGTCCAATTGCAGTTTGGACACATTACCGACTGCTAGCGGTAACAAGCACGACCCTGAACACTTAGGCTGAATTCTCGTTGTCTTAAATGACTCCTCGTTCGGATAAGTCGTTGTTTTATGGCATTTTTGGCAAAGCAAATATGCAAATACCGTTTCTTCTTTCTTCATTTAAAATACATGGTAGGGAATCGCCAGAAATTAAAACGGCCGTTTTAACGTCGAAACGCTACGTATTAAAAAGTACAAAAAGGTATGTTTACAATCCATTGCAAAGCTTGTCTTCTTAACACTTCCAAAATGAGACCATTCTGGCATCCTTCTTTCCATGAAGCTAAGGCGAGGCAATGATCAACCAGGAGCGCCTTATTTTAAAGGCAAAGTAAACAGTTACGTAGCAAGCACAATAGGAAATCTTCTGTTTCCTTCGTACAGAGTAACACTTTTTTATTAATCTCAGAAGAAAGAAAGGCAAGTGACTCATCCTAGTTTGAACCTGGAACCTTTCGACTTTAAGTCAGACACTTTACCGACTGAGAAATCCGGTCTGAGCAACGTAGGGGTCAATTTTTAGCTCAAAGAATATTAAGCACTAAGAAAAGTACTGACAACAGTGACAACATTCACATTCTCTTGTTTGTTCTATTACAGAGAAGGTTTTCAATTTTGAAAACAGATCGATTAGAATTTGATTTAAAACACATTTAAAGGCAGTTTTAAGGCACGTTCATATCATTGCACTTCGTATTTTTTCATTGAATGATGCTTTCGGCAAACGTCGATTTATCGGTTTTACGCTATTTTAAATTTCTTGTTGGTCTCTTGAACTTCGAATTAAGCTAGTTTCACTGCGCAGCATTCGGGAGCTAACATTTTGACGCAGAATGTATCTTCCAACCGTTTTAAAATGCTTCCCTTATGAAACGCTGTTTCTACGACCTGAAGGATTTCAGGATGTGCAGTGAAACCGACACAGGCTTTTAAGGGAGCTACTGAGTCCCAATGAACTGCTGTTTTTTAGCACAACTGTAGTGCTTCTGAAAGGTTGGCACATTCTGGAAGCGTAAAGTATGGCGGTATATACGTCATTGCATCATTCTGATTTCGATGCCGCCAATAAAATGTAACAGTAACAAGTCAACGCTTTACATCTAGTGTAAATCAATACTGTATTCATGTACAACATGTCTTCCAAAAAATACCCTGCCTGCAGTGCTCAGATTTTAAGTATTTATTTGATGGCTCAATACATCCTTCAATAACTGTTAAGAACTTACCGTAATGCCCATTAGCGAAAATTGATGAGCAAGAGCGTTGAACATGCAGTCACCGTCGCCGGGTATTCGATGGCGCGTCAAATGTCTGTCCATTAAAACTTTCTTCAAAGACTTCTCCTCCAGTCGTCGTTTGGATTTCTCCGCATCTCGTTCTGCCTCTTGAATGCTTTTCTCCAGTTGCCTCGCTCTAAGCTCTTTTACTTCCTTGAAAATTTCACCCATATTATTAAGACGAAATTCTGGACGCGCGTTCTACACATCCTATTCAAAAGGTGTTCCACGAGAGGTGACATGAAGTCCACGTCCATGAAGTCCCAGACAGTCACGTCATGAAAATGAATTTTGGAATTAGTAAATTTGGGGGGTCTTCAAACAGGCTTAGCATGCAAAAAATCCAGCTGATGCGGTTCTAAA